GGCGGCGACATTTTTGGACGATTTCTTTTTTTCACGGAGCTATTCCGGTTGTGTGAAACTCGTGCGCCAGAGGGGAAGTGTTTACGGCCGTGGGTGGGCGTCGGTTGTTGTAAAATCCGCGCGCGCACGCCCACGGCGTGTTTACTCTACGGCGAGTCACGAGACCGGTTTAATTTATTGCGACAGTTTTATGATAGTTGACTTGTACGGTTGCATGGTTCGCACAGTCTTGAAAAGTCTTGAATTTGAGGGGAGTCCTTGAAAAGTACTTGAATTTAGTAAATGTTTGATTTTGTGCTTGAAAGTCTTGAATTTCATGAAAATCTCTTGAATTTTTAGAAAGAATCCTTGCCTGTAATAAAAAGAATATTGTGTACCATTAATAATGTGCAAACCTCAATAAAAATTGCCTGTAAATGAGCTTAAAAAGCTATAGCACACGAAGACAGTTAAATGATGATCACAAATTAACAGTAAGTCAGTAAAATCAGTCAGTAAATCAAGGCATGTTGTAGAAGTGACAGTGTTTAGAAGGGTTTATTAATGTAATCCAGGTAAGTTTTAGAGGTGACAGTGATTAAGAATGGGGTTATTAAATTAATCCAGGTATGTTTTGTTCTGTGTATGAATTCTAATAAAATGTCTGATAAAATGACCTTGAATTTCTGATAAAATGTCATTGAAAAAATTTTCAGTCCTGGATGAACCATGGGTTGCCAAGCCTCGAAATAGCTGCATGGCTGCAGGCGTTTTTCTTTTTTTATGTGTCATTCTTCCAGAGGTGTTATTCTCACTATTTCATCCACAAAATGATGAAGAATATTTCATAGGAATACAGCAGTGCCTGCTGGCATAAGCTGTGTATGAAATAAACATGAATTTCTTCCATAAAATATTTAATACAGGTATTCCAAACGCTGGGAAATTCCTAAACCCGAGACACGTTCGTAGTTCGTACCCAGGTATTTCGAATGCGCAATCCTCAACCTGTATTTATTTGGCTCTTCAGTTTCCTTGACCTACACATTTTAAACATTTAATAGCTGGTTTCATTTCTCTCTAGACGCAGAGCCGTACACAAAATAGTTCATTCTTCCTGAACTCTAACTGCGACTATGTTCTTGGACAGTTGCCATGATGAGACGAAAAACAAATCGATTTGCTGTTTCTATTTGCCATTTGATATTTGCAGGGACGTATTCTGTAGCACATTTCTGACTTGAGAACGTCGCTCCCTCCATCTACAAGCCAGTAATCTCTGCTGAGACGTGGTCCAGAACCTAGCATTCTTGAATTCGTGACAGTTGATCTGTCCATCTGCATGTAAATGTAAGCAAATTTTTGTTTCACGTATATTTATCGATATATTCCATATTAGTGTATTGATTGAAATATATATAAAATTAAATTCACTTAACGCAACGTGTTACCAATATTTGCTTGAGTACATAATCGCAAATCACACAGCGGCATACTAGTAGTACAATACATATTCACAAGTGGCTTTGATGTCAAACCCATTATCATATAATTGCATATGAATATAAGTAACACCTGCAATGGTTCTCATTTTTGTCTGAAGTTTACACTTCCTGCCTTTTATAATTAGCTAATCAACGCATCTACGAGATATGCGTGCATCCTAACAATCCGTACGATCCGTACGATCCATGAATTAGGATCCCTCTTAACACAAAGACAGTCCACCGAGTATCACGCACACATCATACAACATCGTAGCGACATACGCGAGTGTGACGTCAGTGCAGCAGCAGTGCACGCGGGCCCTGAAGGAGGGGAAAAATAACTTTTTTTTTCACGGGAGCTCTTTTTCAAAAGTCTGTGGGTCAAAAATTTTACGGCAGCTATTTTGACGGGAGCGATGAGCGATTCGCTCTTCAAACCTCCGAAATCGCTCCCGTGAGGCTGTATTTTTTACCCTGCCCTGAAGCCACGCTCATCTCTGACCGGCGAATCGTACTGACCGTTCCCGCCAAGAGAGATGACGAGGTTCTTGATCGCGCACTCGTACGCGCTGGACGGCAGCCGGCTCCTCAGCTCCCGCAGCGACACGCGTCGGTCGCGATTGCGGTCAAAGTGCTCGAACGTGAGCATGGCGAGTATGTTCTTCGCTGACAGCCGCTGCAGGTACTCCTGCACGTCGACGCTGCACCTCTGCTGGTTGTAGCACGTCGTGCACCACCCGCAGCCGCCCGCCGGCGCCACGGCGACCAGCAGCAGCAGCAGCATTGCCGCGGCGATCTCGACGACGTTGCGCAGCGGCGGCGGCGGCGACATTTTTGGACGATTTCTTTTTTTCACGGAGCTATTCCGGTTGTGTGAAACTCGTGGCGCCAAGAGGGGAAGTGTTTACGGCCGTGGGTGGGCGTCGGTTGTTGTAAAATCCGCGCCGCGCACGCCCACGGCGTGTTTACTCTACGGCGAGTCACGAGACCGGTTTAATTTATTGCGACAGTGTACGACAGTTGACTTGTACGGTTGCCAAGCCTTGAAATAGCTGCATGGCTGCAGGCGTTTATGTGTCATTTTTGTATGTGTCATTTTTCCAGAGGTGTTCAAGGTTGTTCTTGTTGTTGCTGGAATAACCCGCGTTATATGTAAGTTATGTGAACGATGAGGTGGTATTCGCATCATCATTGGCAACGGCGGCAGCAAAAGCAGAAACAGTGGGTAGCCATTGAATAAGTACAGCATTTCCCGCTTTTTTCATTATTATATGAGTCATAATGACATTTTATCAGAAATATATCTATTGTCATCAGTTTGTATTTTAAGCCCGGCGCACACGTGAGTTATTTTACTCAAGTAAAATGACGCATGCGTCAAATTACTCAACGAAAATCCGCCGCACATGTGAGTAAAATGACGCATGCGTCAAATTACTCAACGAAAATCCGCTGCACACGTGAGTAAAATGATTCATGCGTCATTTTACTTGAGTAAAATATCTCACGTGTGCGCTGGGCTTTAAATGCAACTCAAGGTAGGCCCCTTTTAAGTCTCTCCAGTGAGTAGTCTTATAAACTAAAAGTTTCCTTGACACATTTTTTTAGGTTGGTAGTTGGTTTTGTATAGTTAATCTCATCATATGCACACCAAGTCATATGCGCAAACCGAGTTACATTTACATGTTAAAATGCCCACGGCCATTTTACCATCTGCTTCTGTTTAACATGCACAAACCGGATATTTTCAGAACTGGTTATCCAATGCGTGCAAACAAATGTCAGAGCGATACCTCCCGGGTTATACCGAATTCCCTCGAATAAACGCCCGGGCGTTTATTGTTTTCGTCACACTAATGACTTCGGCGCCTATTCAAGCATGCCTTTATTCAGGCAGGGGCGTTAATTTTATTGTTTTACTGCATGCTACACCCGGTATTTTATTTATTTCCTTCGTAATATAATTAATCTAAAGACAGGCCTGTTTTTTCGTGCAAAAATTCGGCCAAAACATTTTCTTTGAACGAAGTTTTGTTTTACTCTGGCGACGTTCGCACGGTCCGCACCTGTTGTTATCAAAACAACTGAAAGTAATTAAAAACCCGTTAGAGAGAATTCACCGCATGGAACAATGGCACTTTATTTGATGAACAATTACATCACACTATATAAAACATAAAAACTGATGAAATTAACCAGCAAAAATATAGTAAATGTTTGTCAACATCACAAAATAGTTCAAGCACGCATTATAAACGCATTATAAAGTCTGCTAGAGGAATGTTGTCTTCGTCGTCGCTCTCATCATCATGAACAACAAGTTCGTTTTCGTCGGCTTCTTCACTGCTTTCTTCACTGCCATCTTCATCTGCAGGGGCGGTATATATACATCATCACCCCCCACCCCCCGGCGACTATTCAGGCCCCGGCGTTTATTGATTTAAAGTATCTTTACCCCCCCCCCCGGCCCTTAATCACACATGCCTTTATTCAAGCAGGGGCTATTATTCGAGGGAATACGGTACCTACTTTGTGCACCTGCTGTAACACCGTTCAGTTTCTCTACATCATAACAGCATTGTTTTCAACATTGAGGATAAGGCATAATGAAATAACGTGTAGAGGCACTTTGTAAACATCTTTCACACAAATGTGAACAATTTATCACTGACATGCAACAGCAATCAAGTAAAGTAGGGCAATCAACGTGTAGCGGGGACTTGCTGTACGTACACAAAACTGCAATGGAAAACTCAAAACGGCCTAGTCGCTAGCACAACCTTACCCGATCGTTATCAAATATCACATCGGTTTATTTCTCAAGGTACTATATTTTGCTTAGGAAAATGGAAGAAACAACCTAAGTTTCAGTTTACCTTTGAAGGGTTTGTCAAAAAGTGTTTTTGCATAGAGTTGGTTCTATAATTTGATAATGCCTAAAAAAAGACGTTTGTTTCCGCTAACCCGACCAAGTCCATTTTAAACCGCCTAGTCGGAACTTTTTATTGTGATCGGCAAAAAAAATTTTTTTTATTCCAACGTGATATCGATCGGTCAATGCATTGATTTGTCTTTGAAGTCATTATATGGGCTGTTATAAGTATAAGACAAACATTTTTTTTTGGCCTAACAAGGTTTGTGACTGTTATCTAGTATATATGTGTTCATAAGACAAGGATAAGATTACTACCACTTGGCATAGCTGTGCATGATCTAGTTCCTTCCAATTAAAACTATTGGCGAATATTTCGAGAATAGAATGCGAATACTCTCGAATTTGACGCTGGTTTGATGAAGATAAAGGGATTTCTTGACGTCCGAATAGAGGGAGCTTGTCCTGGCCGATTGCAAGAAATTTTATTGCGTTGCTCCGGCAGCCAGAACTTGGCCAATTTGTGCTCTAAACAGTCAACTGTGCCATCACCTGAAAAGACAAACGTGGTGCAATTTTACGAGTGAGTTACGTGCGAGTTATATTAAAGTTCAACCAAGTGTGTATATACACAGTGTTCGAGGGAGTGTTAGTTAGCAACTTGCCATTAGCGTCCGCGTCTCTGAAGAGTTGCACTGTTACACAGCGTGGGATCTCGGCTGGTATGGTAGCTTGTATGTCCCACAGGGTCACACGGCCAGTATTGCGCCTATCATAGCTGCTAAATGACAGCAGCCTGGCCTGACTCCTTGGTGACTGTCTGCTGAGATACTGCTGCACGTCGTACCGACACTCCATTGTACCGCCTGCGCCGCCTTCGCCGCCTCCTGCTTCTGCCCGTGCTCCGGACCATCCACAGGCTTCAATCTGTAGCGCATAGCCGACTAAGAGTAGCACCCAAATCACACCAATATAATTTGTTGTCTGCGAATGCTGCATCGACTACAGTCAGATATGACTAATATACTGTGTGCGTGTATCATTGTGTACGTTATATATTCACGGTAGCTTTCTCTATACGTTTCCCATCTCGTTCCTCTAACCAAGCGTGACGGTGTTTAGACTAATTACGTTCTGGTTCTCAGTTCGACTGCGATTCATCTGACTGTATAATGTATCATTCCGATATTCAACGCTTCTTGTGGTCTTTGTAGAAACTTCCGCACCGGCGTAACGTTCTTGCTCTTCGATTAAATTCTCCTGGCTCGATTAAAGTGGGAATCTGTTTTGTGGATGAAACTAAGGAACGTGCCGTTTTTAGCTCACCTTGACATCGTCAAGCTGAGCTATTGCCATGGGTCGTCGTCCGTCGTACGTCCGTCTCCGTCGCGTTTGTCCGTCACATTTGGCTTTCGTCAAGGCGATAAACTGTCAGGAACGTTTGACCACGGTATGGACCCCTGGTGTTGACCCACGGTTGAGCCGCTAACGCAAATAGTGATCAAGNGTGGGAAGAGATAAGAGAGAGAGGGCGAAGAGACAGAGAGAGAAAGCTGAGAGCAAAGACTGAGAGCCAGGAGCTGCATGAGAAAAGGAGAGAAGAGGAGCGTGAGAGAGTGGTTCGTGTGAGTGATGAGGAGAAAGAGATGCGCGAAGAGCAGCCTGTGCTGTGACGGAGAGAGAGACAAGCGCCGATGGAACGAGATGATGAGAGAAAGATGAGGAGAGAGAGAACGGAAGAGAATGGGACCGACGACAGAGCGACGGCGAGAGAGAGGACAGAGAGAAAGAGGAGAGAGAGACGACGGAGAGATGAGAAGAGGAGAGAGAGTAGGAGATGAATACGAGAGAGAAGAAGTGACCGAGAAACGTAAGAGTAGAGAGAAAGATAGCAATCGAGGGAGAGAGAGAGACGATGAGAGAGAGAGAGAGAGCATAAAGAGACGTGAGATGGCGATCTGTGCCGTCCAGCACGGCATGCACAGAAAGCAGCTGACGAGAGAATGATTTATCGCCAAGCACCTAGTGCGTCGCTGTGAATTAACCGACAGTTTCTATCGAGAACATACAGCTTCCCCGTCCGGCGAACGTCTTTAGGGGCAAGGATATTCGCGCGGTGCCAAATTAAACACATTTGCGCGCTGATTCGCACCGCGGTGCCCACGTAATTAAATTTTCAGCTTTCTTTATATTATTGCACGTCGCGCGCGGCGTGCCAGCTGCCGCCTGCGGCAAACTTCCTAATATAGCATTGCTCGAGAGAGACGTGGGGCATGGGAGCTACCTGAGGAAATCGGGCAGAGAAGATAGCTGGGGCGGTCAGATGAAGAAGGAGGCTGAGCGAGGGCGCGAGGGACCAGCGGGAGCGGCAAAGGGAGGACGCGAGGGCATAAAGTAAGTGTTTTGCACCCTACATGCTAGGGCGCTCTCCTAATTATCACACACAGGTTTACTGATCAATGCTTATTAATGAAATCTATGCTGATATTCATCACGAAATATAACTCCTCTTAGCCCGGCAGATTTGTGAATGAATTGTGATTTTTATGATACAAGCATGAGTTTTGGCACACTGTTAGAGCATGCACTAAGAAATTTTTTTGGCTATAGGGCCATCGCATATTTGTCCCATGGCAACAATGGCGGGCATTTTCCAAGATGGCCACCATTCAAATCCATTATCCTTCATTTTCAGTTAATATTCAACATAGAAACATGATGTTTGTGTCTAAACCAACATTATCGGAGTCAAGGAACACATTGCAATCAAAATCATTATCGGTCGGAGGCCGCCATCTTGGATTTCAAAATGATAATGGATTTGAATAGCGGCCATTTAATATTTCAGCTAATATTCAACATAGAAACATGATGTTTGTGTCTAAACCAACATTATCGGGGTCAAGGAACACATTGCAATCAAAATCATTATCGGTCAGAAAGAAACATGATGTTTAATTGTGTCTAAACCAACATTATCGGGGTCAAGGAACACATTGCAATCAAAATCATTATTCGTCAGAGGCCGCCATTTTGAATTTCAAAATGGCCGCCATTCAAATCCATTATCCAATTCAATTTACTTCAATTCAATTCAATCACTTTATTTACACCTGACAATTACATTTTAAAGGTATCATATTGGTTCAACAAATTAATTAACAAAGCTAGTAAATTGAAAATGGTGGTGATGGGAAATGCAGTGGTACTATTTACAACACGCTAGCAACTACCTAACTACATAATATATCTGGCATTCAAGGGACTAAATAATAGCAAAACCATCAACATATTTAATATTGGCGGAGTTATACATGTTTTCGAACTGTAACATGTGAGAGTATAATGCAGTACTTCCCAGTGTTTCCTTTAAAATACTTGGTAGTTTATTTATATGAGCACATAGTTCACGAGATTATGCTGTATCTTGCAAATCAATATTGCATGTCCCAATGTTGTTTGTTAGTGGTGAGCCCAAATCCACGACAATCCCTCCATTATTAACCAAGTAAGGCCTTCCATAGCAGTATTACCGGTTGTCAATGAATTGCAATGTTACTTCTGAGAACAGAGTCCACCACAGAGGCAAAGGGCAGTGCACTGAAGTGCTGCCTTGACACATTTGCACCTTCCTCTGCACCCCTTTTTGCATCTACAGCGGAGGAGTCCGCGACAGGCCTGGGTCGCTTCTGGTAGTGTGGTCCAGTGAACTTCCCATCCACCTGTGTTCTTCCTCTTCCACCCCCAGTCACCTGGAGATGGGAGTTCTGGGGCTGCAACCATCATCTGTCCCCAGCAGTGACCAGCTTGGTAGGCAGCCCTCTTTGTGTGTTGAATCAGTGCTGCTCGTGTTGGGGGAGTCCATCAATTGTTCTACCTTTCTGGGTGAACAGCTGCTTGCGTGCCTGATTGACTGATTCCTGGCTGCTAGTGCGGTCATAGAGCAATACCACGAATCGCTCCAGAGGCCCCATCCAGTCTTCTATGGCTTCTGGGGTGGCAGCCAAGACACAGAAGGCTCTAGTGACGTCATCAAAGGTCGTCCATGTATCCCACGCCGTCTTCTTCCCCCTGCCACCAAAAGATGATACTGTGTCACATCCAGTAAAGGAATGGAACATTGGTAAGGCTATGCATCGTTCCGGACCTAGTGCTCTCGCCATCTCATGAGCTGCTAAATGTCGAAAACTCTTTCCAGCTCCAAAGGCATCCCACAGCTCAGTGATGTTGAGGCGTTGGGCTGCTGTCACTGCCAGTACTAGCACATCCGTGTCAACTGTGCGTATTGACACCTTGGTATACCCTTCCCTCGCAGCATCTGCTAGGTACAGTAGGATACGGGTATCAGCCTCTTCATGTGTGCATGGTGCAAGACCTGATATATCTCGGGGCTGCGTACAGAAGACGTCAGCATGATTGGTGCTGATTATTTGTTTGTCAGTGTCAAGGGCTATCACACTAGTTGCCAGGAAAGAGAACAGCTCAGCCTTGTTGTCGTCGATGCACAGAAACTCCGGCCAGTTTCCAGGAATGGCACTGGATGGCTCAACGCGTCTACGAACTCTCTTCCCTCTCTTGCTCTCGTTTTTCGGTCTTCAGACTTTCAGGGAGATATTCATCCCACACGACATCCACTCTGCTGACATGCTGCAGCTGAGACAGGATGTATGGTGAGAACACTTGCTGCGCATAATCGAAAAATGTCTTAGCACCAGGTCGTAGCATGTTCACGAGAGCAGCCCCATCGAGGATGATGACCTGTACTGTGTGGTTGGATGCATTCTCTTG